ACTCCTTCAGAACAATTCAAAACAAACATTCTCTTTGGTATCAGAGAACTCACCCAAGGACAATCCAATTTTCAGCAAGGTTTACAGTATGCTTGGGCTTTGTCAAGACTAGTTTACTGTTACAATAACTAGAAGCAGTAGGCCCAACAGAAGATATTTCAGAGTTGGCCTAGCTTGACTTTTATTGGATACAGTAATTCCCCTATATTGATGGTAACATTGGCTTTACCTGCTAAGACAAAATTAATCTTAGTACTTAGAGATGTCTCTTCAGAAATTTCTGAAGAGGGCCTGGCAAACACAGAATTTTAATTTCTACAAGGAAACTAATTTGGTTACTCATCTAAAGAGATCCTGAAACTTTCATTTCAAAATTTCTGCTTATTCTGTCTTATCTGCAAAGCTCCTTTCTCTCTCCTTTGTTTTGAAAAGGATGTAGCCATGTTGGATGGTAAACCAAAGTTATAATACCCCTTCTAAGCATCATTCCCCAACATTTTCAGTCTGATACCAAGACCAAAGGCAGTTCAAGAGCCCTGTTAAAATACCTACCATCTGACAAAACTTCGTAGGCCTCAGCCACTTGTTTAAACTGCCGTTCTGCCTCATCTTTGTTGTCTGGGTTTTTATCAGGGTGCCATCTCAGTGCCAACTTACGGTACCTAGGTGGAAAGAAAACAAAGGATATTGTACTCTGAAATGATGGAATATGCTACACAGATAAACACAAAATGCTTTAAACAAGTTGTCAGGGAATAAAGGATTGCATCTAGCCTGGTATCAACAGATTCTACAGGTACACAAAGAACCACCTACTCAGATATGCTCTAAAGAAAAAAAAGTATGTTTGGAGTTCCTTAACTGTTTTGAAATTATTCCTGTGCATTTCTGATGATCAACCTCTGACTGATATAAGCTAAACATTCCATAACATCTCTGCTGTGGGCTTCTTAGAGCTCTGTAATTATTCAGTACTACAACCAATTACAGGAAGCATCAAGAATGATTCTTCTGGTGTAGACAAAGTTGGTAAAACTCCAAGAGTACACCAACACCAGACTGTGACAGCTCCTTAACATAAACACCTTCCTGGACTGCTACACCTGCACACAACTCCTATCCTCTAAAGAAACATTTTAGGCAAAGTGTTCATAAGTCCTTAGAGAGGCAAAGCTAAGCTTGCACTTAGGCTGATGTGGAGTGTTTTACACAGAGTCATACAAGATCACAGTTCAAACATTTGAGTTGATGTGCTGGTTTGGGCTGAAGTAGAGTTAACTCTCTTCACAGCGGCTAGTATGGGGCTATGTTTGGGTTTTGTGCAGAACACAGAGTTGATAATGCAGAGGTGTTTTTGTTATTGCTGAGCAGAGCTCGCACAGAGCCAAGGCCTTTGCTGCTTTCCATACTGCCACTCTGGCAAGGGAGTTGGGGATGCATGGGAGATTGGGAGGAGACACAGCTGGGACAGGTGACCCAAACTGACCAAAGGGATATTCCATACCATAGGGCATCATGCTCAGTATATAAGGTGGGAGGAAGAAGGAGGAAGGGGGGACATCTGGAGTGATGGTGTTTGTCTTCCCAAGGAACCGTTACGCGTGATGGGCCCTGCTCTCCTGGAGATGGATAAACACCTCCTGTCTTTGGGAAGCAGTGAATTAATTCCTTGTTTTGCTTTGCTTGTGTGTGCAGCTTTTGCTTTCTCTATTAAACTGTCTTTATCTCAACCCATGGGTTTTTGTAGCTTTTACCCTTCTGATTTGCTCCCCCATCCCGTTGGTGGGGGAGGGAGTGAGTGGCTGTGTGGTTCTTGGCTGCTGCTGGGGTTAAACCACGACAGTTGACTAGTATGTGCAGGAATTTGGAAAAGAACAAGGGAAAACAACAAAGTGCCAATCCAGAAACCAGGTAATTCTGTTTATTCTTTAAAACAGGTAAGAAATATACCGGTCACACTTACGCCTTTTTAATATCTTCTGCTGAGGCATGCTTTTGCACTCCCAGAACTTCATAGTAATCCACCATGGTTCAGTAGGTGTCTTGTTCACAACAGCTAGGTCTTTCAAGTCCTGTAACAACAACAACTTGTAAATTAAGCTTGTCCAATTAATGCTCCTTCATAAAAGTTAGGTAGGAGCCTGGGATCTTCTAGTACCAAACCTGACCTGAGCGAGACGAAATTCAAAAATCTTCCAAACCCCGAAAAATAAAACCACTTTATTTTAGGTCAACAGATCAAACAACTAATTTAATTCTGATTTTTATGTTCTTTAATTCCACAGAAACACAGCACACAGACACAGAGGTAAACAGCAGTTTCTGAAACAAACTAGACTGAAAAGCTCGATTCGGTCAATCTGAATGCAAATAACTCTGAATGCAAAAGAAATCACTTATGCTCACCTAATGTCTTCTATGACACCTATACCATGTCTCAAGTACATATGAGCACAAACAAAGAGACATCTTTCACATCTGCTCTTCACAGGGTTACTTCCACTGAGATGTTCCCTTCAGAAAAGCAATATATGTGCAGGTCTTGGAAATCTAAAACTCCACCTGTTGATTCCAATAAGTCTTTCTTGTACTCAAGACCTTGATGGAAAATTTGCTAATTGCCAAAGCTACTGAATACCATTTACTTCCTTTATGTTTACCAACAGAATTACATAGCCAGGCAAGATTGCTACAACTGCAACGTTAACCAACTCAAGTACAGAGGCACCTTGTGTTTCTTCCTATAAAAAGAATAAAGTTGTCACAAGAATCCAAAGAAACTTACAAGTTTAAAGGAAAAGCATTTGCCCAATTCAATTTGAATTCTTAGAACCTCTTGTAATATTAGAGAATAATTACAAGGAAGAGTATACTAACCATTACTTCAACTAAATGACCACTAACATGAAAGAACCTTTCTAAAAATGTCAAGAATGTTTCATGTCTTCATGCTAAGGCTGCTTCTCTCCACCACTCTAACACATCTCCATTTCTGCGTAACTTCAAGCACCTTTCCATCCTTCCACTGCTGCTGGTTTGTCTCAGGTTTTATCAACAAGGAAACACTGACCTTTCCCATGAGTTATCAACTTGTTGCAGGGAAAGTTACCCAAATACACTCAGAACATAACAATATAGCAATGTATTAGTCACAATTCCTTATCTCATGCACCAAGAACAAAAATTAATTGAAATAAAAGTTTTCCTCCCTCAAGTCAATCAGTGTTTTTCACTTTAATCGAGGCAAAGTCTCATTTTCTTATTCTTTCACATAAATGCTGAAAGAACCAAGTATGATGTAGCCCAGTGAACTATTCTGAAATTAAGCTGTACTAGTATTACATGCATCTTCCAACATCCTGGGACATAAACATTAAAGAGAGACTTGTAAAATAAATCAGCACATCTTCAAAATATGTTGCTGTTGTAGGCTAAAGCTTAATTAACTTTTATTAGGGATGTGGTTACACAAACATTTCCCCAAATGGCAAAACCAGTTTAAGAGATATCCTGCCATGCTACCTCCCTTCCCTCCTCAAACTACTTAGAGAAGCAAATGTATTGGAGGAGCTACACATGTTTAAAACTTGGGTGGTTTTAGCAACCTACTTAACCATACAGTCCCACAACACCGAAAATTAAAGTGCAGCAGGCAAACAGACCTCTAATTGAGTCTGCCCTTTGAGGGAATCTCCATACTGAAAAAAATAGTAAGGGTATAGTTAATATTGTGACCAATACCAAAGGAAGTTGGGAAACATGCATTAAAATGAACATTAAGAATCCCAATAATAATATACTAATGGTAGGGCTCAATATGCAAACACACAGATTGACAAAAATATCCCAGAGTATTTGATATCAACCAGCCCTGCAAGTTTTGCTGTTTCCCAAACAGCAATTAGAACAGCTCTATGAACAGAGGCAGAAGCAAGGTCAGTGTGGGTTAAGTGTGTTATCAAATCCCATAGCCAATCCTTATGAGTAACAGCAGATATGGAATGCAGAGTTTATGAAAACGTATCAGAGGGGGGGAACCTAGTATGAGTCAATCTTAAGGTGAGAGGACAGAGCCCCTCCTAACAGGAGATACAGCCTAAAACTACTGAGCTAACAGCAGGAAGCCACAAGACAAGAGCACATACCATACCACTAAGCGTTTTTTCCATATTCCCCTTTTCTTAAACTCAAGACTTGCATTAGAATTCCTCTCAATTTAGGCAGCTAGCTTAGAGGGAAAGTTTAAAACTCAAGTTGCTAGCCATATGTTAACAACAAATTACATATTTTCCTACAGATCGTTGTGTACACTGGCAGTCATATTGATTTTAACATACATTTCTTTAAACACTTTACTGTTTGTTTAAAACAATGCTGCAGTGTTGTTTAGCTCAGACTCAGTACAGACAGCAATAGAGCCTAACTTACAGAAGCCTGAAGCTGGGACCAAAAACCAGTGCTGAGGGAACATGACCACTTCTTAACAGATGACTGACCCTAAAAAACAACTCCTTCAAGAGCAGAGGAATCATTTGTTTCAAAGAAACCTTTGGGGCTTGCACATTCTGTCTTTAGCAAGAGTGTTACTGTTCAGTTTTTACTGGCCACTAATATAACATCTGGAATTAAGACAAGCCAGCAGCTCTCTGAAGTAAACAAATGGTCAATAGTCTATCAAACAGTCAGGTGACAGGAAGAGTTCATCTCCAATTCATTGTTATTTCTATCTGCTAGTTACCATAAAGCATAAACTACACCACTGTAATTTTAGTTATCATAGGAACTTGTATCTTGTATGTAAAAAGGTTTTAGTCATATTTCCATGAAGAAAAATTGCAACTTTTGCTGTCCAGCTCAAGCAAAAGAAAAAAAATAGCCTCAGCTAATATTTAGCCCCTAAAAAAAACTTAGACTTTTGCTCAACAGCCAGTAAGACCAACAAAAAACCAAACCAAACAAACCCACACAAAAACCCCCCATCCCTCCAAACAACCAACATTACTCACAAGCTAAAAATCACCCCTGTCTGCAATCTCTCCAGGGCAAAATTATTTACAATATTCACTCAAGGAAACAGCCACTAACAGCTTATAATAAAACAGAATATGGATGACCATCAACTTAGAAAATGAAAGATGGCAAATTTTAAAAAAAAAAAATCAGTTTTAAGGCTAGTAGGAATCTGCATGGTGAAAATGCCTAGATGTTTCAAAAATGCATATACCTCCCTGCAAAATGAAAAGCAAAAATCACTCAATTGTCCTAAACAAAATGACGCAACAAAAATTTTCTTCCAGCACCAAATCTGCCAAACAATTTGTCTCTGAATATACAAGCCAGGCTCATTAACTAGGCACTCCAGAGTTTTTTCCAAGGCCACAAGGAAGCCAGCCCACATTAGCTAATTTCCCACCACAAAAAGGTCTCAGAAGAAAGCAAGAAAAAAAAAAACAAAGCAACCACCTCCATCCAGCTGAAAGAAGTTGTTTCATAGCCTTTGTATTTGCTTGCAAGAATCTAGTTACTTGTGTTCCCAACAGCACTAAGTTTACAGTGTGCTATCAGCTACTCTAACTCCTCCTTCAGAGCATGAAAGTAAACAGACAAATGTTTATGGGAACCAAAAGTTCCACAGTTTCCAGGTTTCTCAGTCACCACAGGAGAAGTCAGCTTTGTTCTGCCTTACCAAGCAGTGGCCCTGATGCTCATACCGACTCAAGGCTACTGATAACAAGTACATGAGCAGGTTTGAGCCCTCAGCACAGCCCAGAGCTCCACCAGAGTTATCCTGAAACGCAGCTCAGAAACTCTTTACAGCACAGTCCTCAGCTACAAAAACAGGCATGAGAAGTATTATGGAAGATAGGTATGTAGAGAGCTATAAACTTTTATAAGATCAGATGGCAAAGAAAAACAAGTGATCAGATGCATGACCCACAAGGATGACAAAGCAGCACCCCTACCTAAACAGGGAAGGGAGGAAGGTATCCAAACAAGAAATTCTTTGAGCAGCCAGGAGGGAACTCAGACAGCGAGGGGCACGCGACCTTTGCAGTCAGCCTAGTCAGAAAAAGTTATCTATTTCTGGCCATGAAGCAATGGGCAGCACGGAGAGTCCTGAAAGATGCCAGAATAGCTCGAGCTTAGTGACTAGTGCAGTCACCTGGGCAGAGGGAGATGGAGTTCCAGACTCCTGATTCACCCAGCTCACAGAAGCAGCCAGTCATCAACATCCTGTGCAAATCACACAGCCATCCCATCCCGATTACCTGCCTGCTTTCCATGAACACAGCTAAAGGATTTTATCCTGCTGGCAGTGCCGGAAGAATAAACACCCTGTTCTGAATCCCAGTTCAGCCTAAGCTTGTGTCTGACCTACACAGCAACACAGCAACTCAGAGATGTCTCTGATATGTTAATAGATGACACACACACTCGAGGACCTTCGGGAATTGTAATCTATGATTAAAAAATACGACTTTTCACATTCTAAGAAAGCAGTATGTGAGCTGGATCTGATGAAATTTTACACTCCTTCAAGTGTAAACACTACAGTCATGATCATGCTGTTGTGGATCTAGGGCCATACAAAGCATTCCAAGCAACTCACACACAGTTTAAAGGTTCTCCAGTATTTCTTTATTTGATTTTTATATGCTAAGACACCTTTGCTAAGCTTTTTATTATTTACAGGCCAGTAAATTCAGAGACATATACAAATATTCTCAGTCTTAAAGTAACAAAGTTCGGATGAAATTCAGGCACTGCATTTGCTCACAAGCTACAGATTTCAATGTAACACCAGTTCTAATTACTTGCCTTATCTCTCGAAGTTATCCATCTAAAAGAGGGTAAAAGAAGATCAACCATAACACTATTTGCCAAGGCTTCCAAGACACATTTGTACCAGTGGCTCAGGGAGCTCTCACTGGCTTGAAGACATCACTAACACACAGACACTGGTTACTGAAACTTACTTCTGTGGTCTCCTATGCCCTCACCAAAACAGACACATCTCACCCCGTAACTCTTCACAGTGTTACACCACTCAGGCAGCAACCAAGCACACTTCACC